ACGCGACAATCCGCCCTTTGGAGCGACCCCCTCCCGCAGGCGGAAACACTACCCCAAGCCCCTTTTTTGCATACTGGGCTCCGGACCCCTAAACCCTAAACCCTAAACCCTAAACCCCAGATAGAAGTACTAAAGCATGCAACCCTCCCAGGTAGGCTCCTGTGAGAGGTTGGGCGCTAATGCCTGACCCCAAGAGTTGCACGTCTTCTTGCGCACTCATACATTCGGGGCTGTGTAGGGAGCCCCATGGATGTTTCAGACTCCCTCAACCCGAATCCCTCAACCCTAAATCCTAAACCCCGCACCCTAAACCCGAACCTTTCGGGAGTTCGCAGGGTCGCTGGAGGCGGGATAAGGGGAGAAGGATGGCGCGCGGCGTTTACGTGGCTCAAGGCGTCTGGGCACCAAGCCCAGCAACCGTGATTGTAAAAAGGGCACCCGTTTTTGGCTAGGTTATTTTATAAGGGAACCCATAACCAAAAAAAAGGGCCAAGGATACCACTGGGCTACCAAGACATGTGAATCCGATAGTTGGGAAGTGTCCTACAATCCATAGAGGGTCCAGAAGGGAGCATGCGCATGAACTCAGCTTTTGCAAAGTGGGGGCTTGTAGGGTTTCGAATGACTTGTCTCTTCGTTTCGCGCCAAGTGCAACTCCGAGAAAACCCACTGGCTCGGTGATACGAAGCATGAAGCTTGCACCACAGGCAGAAGCTCGAGCACCAACCGACCAGACTTGACTGAAAAATAAGGGGTCTTAGGTGTTCTTCCCCAACATCACAAGCAACCCTAAGCTGGAATAAACGAAACAAGCAAGAAGCTCTCTGCGATTGTGGTGTCTTCATGCGGAGGCTTTGGCCAGCATGTGACAAAAACTTGTTGTTTTTTTTTGCTTTCTTAGGGGTTCATCCTGCGAGCCCCATTCGACGAAATTATTGGAGGTGCCCAGAGACAGCAGCTAGTGGCAGCTAGTGATGCGAGCGTTCTTCGCTGTCTTGCTAAGGTCATCTCTTGGGCATGTGCATTCTCCTCCCCAAGATCGGGTTTGCGGAGAATGTGGATTATCTGATATACTCCACAGGGTTGGACAAGTTCGCCTCTCATCGTGGTACGAATAGCAGTCCTGCGCAATGCACTTTTGTGGACGACCACAGCTCTGGGAGGCTTGTGGGTTCAGGGTTGAGGGTTTGGGGTTTAGGGCGATCAATCATTTAGGGAACTCGCCCCCAAAAACACACACTGGTCTACTTGGGCTTATGAACCCGTCGGTTTAGGCGCTGGTTCGAATTCCAGGTGAGTTTAGGGTTTAGGCACGAGGGACTGGGCATGTAGCCTTAGGCTTCTGAGTGCCAGACGCCTGCTCGCTGACGGAGCATTAAGAAGAACTTCCGAGCTAGAGACATTGAATAACTATTCGACTCGAATTTGGGGTAGCTCCCTCCGCAGCCATGGCCTAGTTTTTTGGGGCTCCTACTACAACACGGCCGTATCCAAAAAGGAGCCACCAACTCCCCGAACAATTTACGCTATGGAGTTCCCACACCCATGGAAATTGAATCATACTGGTAACTTATCCTGGAAACACGACAGCATGCATTTCCAGACGTATAAACCGATCGACTCTCTCGGTGTTTCCTTGCGCATGCCCAATCGCGAACAGCGTCCCTCGGTGCTCGCAGACCCTGCGGACGTCGGATGCCGTTCAAAACATAGCGTGGGTTTCGCGGCAGGTGTGAGATCGCTCTTTTGCTAGGAGTCTCTGCGCCAATTTGCGTCTTGAGTAGGTCGCTCCGTCGCGAATAGAAGGCAACGTGCAGGCAACATGGCAAGGATGCACTCTTTCTTTCGTGTGGTCTCAGGGCTATGCAGTCTGATGGCAGGTCCGCCTTGATAGGGTTTTAGGGGGCCAGGCAGTCTGATGATGTCTGTTCTAGGGAATCTGCATCTCGCGATGTCCCAATGTTCGCCTCGGTCCCACGTGCGCCACACACGTGCTCCCGTGAAGTGCAGAACTGTCGCTGCTTTTGCCCTCTTGGACGAAAGAGAGAGAGCGAGAGAGAGACCGCTGTCTCCACAACCAGCGGGCCCGCGCAGATCGCACGGGGCCTTGCCCCCACAGGCCTTTTGAAAGAAGGGAGGAAGGAAGCAAGGAAGGAAGGAAGGAAGAGAAAGAGCCCACTTGAAATCTGGCCTGCCTTCATATGTATTGATGTATTGCTTTCTGCTTTGTTCTTTCTGGCTTCTCTTGAGGATTCTCATTGGAGCGCTTCTGAAATGGTCTTACACTGTTGGGCCTACGCCGGCATAACAGGGACTCCTAGGGTGACTTAATGTCGGCCTGCACCAGGTTGTGGCTGGTATGGCAACTGAGCCGCCGCGGGGCGCTGTATCCACGGGCCTCGGAGAGAAAGCCATCTCACGCCTCGACCTGCATCTAGTGTAGATTATTTCTGGCAATCTGCGAAAATTCGGGGTCGACAAAACACCCCAAACGACAAGTACATTCTACCAACACGTCGTGCACATGACACAAGCATGTTGCGGTCCGGGGCAAGGTCGCCGACTCCCTCAAGACCACCTTTGTGCATCTAAGCCATACAGCCACTTGTCTATTCGGGACTCCTTGTCACCGGGCTGTTGCCAAGAGCCCCTAAACCCTAAACCCTAAACCCTAGTAAATCTCAGGCTTCAACCCTGAGAAGAGCTTAAGGGTCGGAGTGAAGATGGAGCTAAGCCATGGAACTCTCGCAAAAGCCTCGAGGTCAACCTTTCAGGGTTTTCTTTGCCACCCGACTAGCAAAAGTTTAGGGTTTAGGGGCCTAACCCCTGAACCTGAACCCTAAACCCTAAACCCACCGTGAGGTTCTGCCCAAACCATAAACCCTCTCCAACCATGGTGCGCGCAGCGGTCGAGGCCAGGCCAGGCTCTGCATACTCACCCCAGCCGGCCTGCCGCGCTTACGGGTGCACTTTAGGGTGAGGTTCAGTTTAGGTTGTAGCGTTTAGGGTTTATGGGGAAAACCCTGAAACCCTAAACCACAAGCCCAAACAGGCAAGGATGATAGCTTTTTAGGGGGGCGTGGTCGAGGGGTGGCCCTGAGATTTGGGAACTACCCTAAACCCTAAACCCTAAACCCTAAACCCTAAACCCTAAACCCTAAACCCAGGACTTCAGGGAGTTGAAGGCTTTGAGCTGGCTACGACACGCTGCAACGATGCTAACTGGCCCAGTCCTCAGATTTCAACAACAAACACAAGGGTTTAGGGTTTAGGTTTTGGGGCTTAGGGATTGGGGTTTAGGCTTTAGGGGTACCCCAAAAATATTGGGTGCCGTATTATGATAGGGATCTAAAAAGGGTCCATAATTTTGACAACCGCCCAGTGGATATGACATAGAATACAGAACAAAGAAAGGCTAGAACAGTCTCATGTAATTCTGGCTATGATTCAGTACAAGACACCTGCCAGTGATTTAGACTTACCGTTTGCCTTTTCACCCAAAGCCTAAACTGTTTAGGGAACTACTAAGCTTAGTTGTCCAGTAACCTGGGAGAATTGAAGGTTAACCTTTGGGACTATAAGGGGATTATACTACCCCAAAAAGGTTAAAGGTTACCCACTTTACTACTAGGACAGGGTTTAGGGTTTACAGGGCTTGAACACAGGGCATGAGATCATCTAAGAATCTAGCGTAGGTTGAAGGCTTTGTTTTCAGGGTTCCACGGTTTCGTTGCTATGATAAACACCGAGTTCTTAAACCCCGTCGAGTAGACCCTGATCCCTGAGCGAAACCCCACTATGCCCTAACCCGAACGATACCCTAAACCTACCCTACCTATGCCCTAGCATGGATTCGAGGTCGCCAAAGGACTGCATTATCACAAGGGTGGGCCCACATTTCTGTTGGTAAGTCTTGAAGAAGAGAACCCAGAAAGAGAACTGCTGGACTTTCTGGGAAATTGGAGTTGGGTTTAGGGTTTGGGATTCTTGGCTTAGGGTAGGTCTGAGGGCATAGATCCTGAAATTCATCCGCGTGGCTGTATGCATTGGGCTGTCACTTGCTCTGGAGGTAGCTACCTCCGGCGACAAGGGCATCGGTATGCAATTAGGCCTCCTACAGCTTCAAGGCTCGATTCTCAAGGACGGCGCTCGTGGCTCCCGGCCTAGTATTTCCATAAGTGAAAAGAACTATACAGGTGGGACACAGGGGGTTGGGGTCTCTATAGGGTTAAGCCCTCACGCAACAGGAGTGGTCTCTTCACCTTCAGCACCGTGCCCTGGAACGACACAAGCTTACAAAACCTTGATGCCCCCTAAACCCAACCCTCGAGCTCGCAACGCGCACGTCTCCTGCCTGCCAAGGTGCGTTTGGAGCACCTTTGCGACCACCTTTGGCTCCTTTCCGCCCACCTTTGCGAAGAACAAGGAGCCCTTCGGGTTTAGGGTTTAGGGTTTAGGCTTCAGGGTTTAGGGTTTAGGGATCCCAAAGATCCCCGCAGCTCCCGAACTTGAGGGGGTGGCCCTGCAGTTGGCCACTTCTCCACAAATTTGGTCCCTTTTGGGGGGTCCTATGGTCCTATGGGTATCCAGAAAGGGACCTTCATGTTGAGAACAACCCAGTTGGGGGCTGCAGGGCGGCGCGGCCTTCAGTTTTCAGGGTGTCAAGGCTTCGGTTCGCAGGCTGTGGGGGGGGGCTTGTTCTCTGGAGGCCCTTAAGAAAGAGTTTGTGGAGGTTGCAAATTTCAGCAATGCCATCTTGCCTAAGTACAGCAATATGGCGGGTTGTCCTCCCTTGCCAAACTCAACAAGCAAGGAACAGCGTAGTCAACCTGAGCAAAGAAGAAGACACTCGCACGACCACTCCAGAATCTGTCAGGTCAGACAGGCCAGGTGACCATCTAAAGACATGCTCAACCCAAGATGGTGCGATTCGACCTAAACAGAGGCCTCTCCAAACCGTTCCCCCCCCCCCCCCTCCCCTTGCGCTTTTTCACCATGCACTATCCTTTCACGTCTCGAACAGCTTCGGCGCTTCGGGGAGTAGCTTTGACCTCGGGCGAACAGCAAGGACGACGGCTTCGGGCTTTCAGCGTTCATGCCTTGAAGCCTCGCTCTATCTAGAACAAAAATATATATATATATATATATATATGCATATACATACATACAGACATTTCCATATATATATATATATATACATACGCGTATATATATATATATATGTATTTGTGTTTATTTTAAATCCGAGCACCTGCTTAATTAACACCCCACATTTAAAGATTTTTTTCATCGAGAAGCCCGCCGGAAGGCTACTTTCCATTACGGGGGTTTTCGTATGGGCAAATACAACCACATTTAAAGACATTTTTCTCGGGAGGGGGGGGGGTTAAAAATCTGTCGGCTTTCGTGTTTTTCTTTGTGAGCTGCAGTTTGCTGCGGTGAAGCTACACATCTTTAAGGTAAAAGCTTTAAAGAAGCCCAAGCTTTGTTTTTCTAGAAGCCGAGGCCCTTCAGAAAGCTAGGATTTCTTGTGTGATTGCTTGCTGGAGGAGAGAAGTTTTCATTCTTTCCTGAGCTAGCCCTTATGCGCTCTGCTCGGCAAAGACAGCATCATATTTATAAAAGGGACCACAATTATGGGAGGCCCTGGGGGCGAGCCCTATTGTTTTCAATACATTCCTATTGCTTTTAATCGAGAATCAATACATTGCCATGGTCTTACTATTGCGGCGCCCTGCCTTTCTTACTGCGGTGGGGGAACCCAACTAAACAGGTGCTCGGATTAGATGTATACTGATGCATTTATTCCTTGTAGGATAAAGTAAAGATCAGAGACGGGCCTTTAAACTTTACGGGGCGAAGTAGCCACTGCTGGGTTCCATGGTGGAAAAGCAATTTTTGCGTGTGGGAACGTAGCAGGTAGTTGCAGGCCTTGAGCTCAAGGAGACAGGACATGGATTTTGCCACTTTTAGGGTTTAGGGTTGGTTTGGGTTTAGGGTCCATTTAGGGTTTAGGGTTTAGGGCTGGTTAGGGTTTGAGGGTGCCTGATGCTGCAAGCACCTTGAGGCAGAAGTTGAGTTGAGAGGCCGAAGCCCAGCCAGGCAGCAGCATGACCTGCACCGGCTGTTGCAGTAGATCTCCCTGTGCCACGCACCGTACGTTGAATGGCATTCTATTCCCGCTGCAAGATAAAGCAGCTTCAACGTGTCAATGAGCCTTCTAGCTTCTCACCAAAAAAAACAAGCAGCTTCTGTAAACAAGAACTGAGTGTGCGAACCCCGTGGCCCGTCAATTTTTCAACTAACATCCGAAAGCCTCAGCCTCAACGCCAAATTGATGCGTGCTGTTGCTGAGGAATAACACGAAATTTCTAACGTTGCCAAAGCATTGAAAATAGATGATATCCACCCTCCTTTCAGCGAGGCTGAGACGTTAGGGCTACTGTAGGGGTAGCTAGAGTTCTTGATGCCTCGTCTCGCTCCCCCTCCCTCAACGCATCTTCCCCCACTCTTCAGAGCATCATAAAACAGAACGAGGAGTAAAACACAGAACCCAGACGGACAATGCCTGTTGCGATTCATGCAAGCTTGCTACAACTTGAAATTCCCGCCAAACGGCCTGTCCATGCCTCCTACAGATATTCTGGCACTCGGGCTTCGCTGAATACAGCACGCAGCGAGGTTCTAGGTTGTGCGCACCTCACTTATGTGAATTGACCTCGCGTTTGCGTGAAGCTTTGCGCCGTGTAAGCCCGGTCAAACTTCACTTTGCGCTTTTCACGCGGGCTTATGAGCCACCCCACAGGCACGGACGACGAGGCCCTTGCAACCAGGCTCCCTAAACCCTAAACCCTAAACCCTAAACCAGGTCTTGTCGAGGAAGACTTCCGGGTGGAGGAAAGGAGCCAAGTCAAGAGGCAAGGCACAAGGAAACCGTCCCCCCAAGCGTATCCCTCACTGTCTCTCGTGCTCGCTCGTGTCCCTAAACACCCCATCCTCAGAAAATCGAACAAGCACGCCTGGTTTAGGGTTTCGACTCTTCGTACATCTCTCGATTTATGCGATTCTTATCGGCTGCCCTTTCAAGGATTAGGGTTTAGGGGGTTTAAAGTCGCCTGGCCAGGAGGCGCTCCGGGAATCTTGCTCACCTTCCCGCAGGTGGTCACGTGCACCTCGACCTGCCAGCTCCATGAGGTTGAGGCAAGACTATAGTTCATGGTTGGGATAGCATTCAAAATTTAAGTCTCTATTCCTTATTGGGTTTAAGTAGCCTTAAATATGTAAAATGTTGCCCCACTATGACAAAGATGAGGGCAGGGTGTAACGTGGTCTTGTTATCTTTCGCTTCTTCAGTCCTTTTCTTTTCCTTTTCTTTTGAGAGGGCTTGAGGGGAGAACTCCCTCACGCACTGGGCGCACTCTTCTTTGCGGGCCTGCAAGTTCTCTGCCAACTGCTGGAAGATGCTTTCAGCTACCTTACACCAGACCTCCGCTCTCTGTTCCTTCTTGAAGCCCGGTGGCGGAGGTTTCAACCTTGGACTTGGAGTAGAAGGCCTGAGTTCGGGTTTGGGGGGGTTTGGGGCTTTCGGGCTTGGCGCTTTAGGGCTTGAGGGTGTTCGTATTCGGGGTTGCCAGGGACGTGTTTCGGGTAGACCCAGAGAATCGGGTCGCCTCTCCAATGCTGGTGTCGAAAGGAACCCTCAGACCCATGAACCTCAAGCCCTTAAGCCTCTGCATCCAAGCCTCACACCCTACACTGCCTACACCCTAAATAGCTGTGTAGCGTTTCTGGGGTTTATAGGTCGAATAAGCCCTGAACCCCCAAAGTCACAAGCCCAAAGCCAAACCTGGAGCTGCGAGTCGAGCTTGGGGCCCGGAAAATCATGTGGCACAAGTAGGGTTAGGGTTTAGGGTTTAGGGTTTAGGGTTTAGGGTTTAGGGTTTAGGGTTTAGGGTTTAGGGTTTAGGGTTTAGGATTACTAGACCAGTTTTACGCCGTTTTACACCTTTGCAAGAAAAATGAGGAAGACTTCCTACCGTCTGCAGGAACCGTTCAAACCCGACCTCTAACTTTTGGACTTGGGTCCCTGTATTTTTGGGAGGTTGCGTTCATCAAAGGGCGGGGCCTTATATGTAGGGTGCCTTTTATAACCCTTTTGAATGCGGTCTTGGGGGGGTCGGCTCGGGAACGTCACATAGAACATGTCCCTACACCATGCCCCTCAACCCTAAACCCTAAACCTTGTAAACCCTAAACCCGGTAAATCTGAGAGGGCCACATTAGTTTAGGTCTACACCGCAAACCCTGCATGGTCCCCCTGGTTCCTAGTAGGGACTGAGGGAATAAGGGCCCAAAATGTACCCTTTAAGGGAGTATATAGGTACCGCATTCCTCATTCCCTACTAAGAACCAGCTAGTGGTTTAGAGTGCATTGCCAAGAGTCACACAGCGATGCGGCCTTCCTCAGTTTTCAAGACCGGGGCTCTTTCTACTACAGGGTTTTAGGGTTTGGGGCTGCTCCCGCACTGTTCTCGAAACTGGGAGGCTTCAACAATGAGCATCCCCCCCCCACAAAAAAAAACATAATCAACATGCTTCATATATATATATGTATATACATGCATATACATGTACATATGCATATACATAAATATATATATATATACCCACACACACACACACACACTATTTTCAAGAAGTCGAACTACATATGGCCTGGGCAAAAGATGTCCCCCCCCCCCCCCCCAGATTTCGTACATGGGCTTCTCCTTCGGTCCAAAGGCCTAAAAGGCACTTATAGGCTTCTAAATGGGTTTAGGGTTTAGGGTTTAGGGTTTAGGGCTTAGCCTTTGCAAGCTGACCTGCCTGCTGAAACTCAGAACGGACAGCTTTATTCGCTCACAGCTCGGAGGAATCAAGTGAGGTTTACTGTTTAGGGTTCAGGGCTTACCTGCGAACACCTGATCCGCAGCCTGTGCCTTTTGCAAGATATGAGGCCTCGCAGTATAAGCGGAATGCACCAACAAAAACCATCATAAGGGAACCTACCATTGGCTAGCACTCCGACCCCAGCCCAAGACATACAACAAGGTGCAACTTCTTGGGCGACTGCAATCAAATCCCAGCCCAGAAGGAGTGATGGGGTTGGTTCATCGTGCAGAGGCGTATGTTTGCATGTTTCTAATGTGCTTGAACCTCTAAACCCTGAACCCTGCACCCTAAACCCTGAACCCTGTTGAACCACCTAAGTCCCAAGACTTAGCCTCCGCGGGCCCAAGCCCTTTGGTAGCCGGGTGTCGAAATCACATCCTTCGGAGGACGTCCCTGCGAGTGATCAACTCAGGACGTTGTTTTCTCGCATGTTCCAATGTTGCATCTGCACACACACACACAGCAAATACATTTTATACAACAATGGCGGAGGTGTTTTTTCCTAGCTTTGGCTGTGGCTCGTTTTCCTTGCTAACGTTGGCTCCCCCCTTCCTGGCATACTATGAAATGCAGCATTTCTGCATGTTCCAGGGCTCCAGAAGCTGCTAACAAATGCTGTAAAATCCAGCATTTGTTTTTGGTTCCCAAGACTCCAAATGCTGTGGATTACATCCGGTGTGAAGCTTCGGGGGGGGGGGGGTTCTGTGAAGCCACCTTGCATCGTAGAGAAGCGGAGGGGTTGCTCGTATGATGGGGTTTGGAAACAGGGGCCATTGACGACAGCAAGCTGCATAGCTTCTTGCATAGCTTACAAGATTTGGGGGGGTTGGGGGAGGGGGGGGGGGGTGCCGCAGCCCCCCCCCCCCACCCATTTGCAATCACAAATCCTCGCTGACGGCCCTTGACGACACGACCTGCTACGAGCGGGGGTCCCCCCCCATTTGCAAACACCATGCTCGTCTGATACGTTTGGAAAGATGACGGGCCATTGATGGCACGACATTCTAGTGAAGCAAGTGGGCATAGTTCGCTGTCGGCCGTCGGCCGTCGGCCGTCGTCTTGGTCGTCTTTGTCGTCCTTGTTTGTTTCTTGTCTTGTTATGTTTGCTATTGGTGTTCCTGTTCATGTTGGTGTTCTTTTTGCTCCTGTGTATTGATCGTGGACCAGGGGACCGTGGGGCCGTAGGACTAGAGGACACAGGGGATCAAAGGGGACCAAAGCGCAGGGGACGGACCAAAGCACCAGCGACCAGAGGACCACAGGACCAGGGACCAGAGGACCACAGGACCAGGGGGACCGGAGGACCAGGGCCATCATCGTAAATGTGGATGCATCGACTAACCACGGCGACACATTACGCTTGCGCCTGGCCTGGGCAGAAACCGCTCGGATCACGACATGGGAGCCCGGGACGTGGGCAGCATGCATCCACACCTGGCAGGAGTGAAAGCTTGGGACCTTCATGCCCTTGAAACGATGATTGCAAACAGGCTCTTCAAGCCTCGTCGTCTCTTCCATGCTCCAGTGACAGGCGGTCGTTGTCTGCAGCACTCTTGCCGATTAGCACCTCTAAGGTCAGATTGAACGACTTCAACAAGGCTTAGATAGTTGCCTTTTTTTGTGGGGCGTGGGGGAGGGGGGGGGTGCTGTAGTTCTTCTCTTCGGGGTGCACTATGCTCCCCCAAAGGAAACTCATCTGTTTGGATCAAGGGACTTGTCCGTGTTCCAGGGGGCTTTCAGGATGTTCCTGGGCTGCCGGGGCAGGGGGGCAGGTGCAGCGCATGCAGTTCTTGACCCTCAGCCTCTTCACCTTCCCATGAAAACCTACAGGTCAAGACAGTCGGCTTCAGGGGGAACCTAGAACCAAAACGGTCGAGACGTGCGCGAGGGTCCCTGTCAGCAGTCAAGACGGACGATCGACTTCTCGCATCCCTTTGCCAGCACACCCGATGCCTTCTGCGGGAGAGAGTTGGGACTTTGCGCTCATGATTCTCAACAACCTCCCGGAAAATGATGCGGCTGAACCAGCTGAACCCATGAGAACCTGTAAGGCTCAATCCTGAAGTTCACCACTGCCTGCCACTGGCTGTCATCCTGGCCGGAGACCAGCACCGAGCGGCAACCTACGCGAAGGCCCGCAAGGTAAGCAGGGTTTAGGGTTTAGGGTTTAGGGTTTAGGGCTTCGATCTTTCGTGCACCGATTCGCCTTCACCTATGGAGGTTCAGGGTAAGAACAAGGTGGTCTGTGCGGTGGGAAGTGGGAACGCTCGCACTGCTAGCTTAACAAAACACAGGGTTGGGGGGTTGTGTAGGGGTTGATCTTTCTCATGGGCCTCTAGAACGTCTACGTGTTGCTTGTGGCATTCCAAAACCCCAAACCCCAAACCCTAAACCCACAATTGCGTGACATCGCCAAAGCGTTTCGGACCTGTGGTGCCGGCTTTTCCTGACTCTGCAGGCGTGCGGCAGGCCGGCTATAGCATGTATGTATCTAATATGCACACGTGTGTAAAACTTATACGTGTACATACGTATGTATATATGCCTGTACTAAAAAGCCGTAATTATGTGAGTCATTTTGCTTACACATTTGCGTGATTTCAGGAGAGTGATATTCATCAGGCATGGCTTTTCTCATCTGAACAGTTTGTACGATGGGCATGACTTTCTGAGCCCCTACCAGGATGGGCTATTGGACCCTAGAACCCCTTAAAAGGCCCTTTACGCGGGTGATGATGGGGATTAGAAGGCCTAATACCCATCCTGGTAAGCCTGGACCTGCACGGAACCACCCCCGTCGCCTTTAGGCGCTGGGGCCGCCTTTTGCTTCGGACTTGTCTTCGGTGGAACTTCGCCAAAGCCCTGGCTCAGAGCTGTATGGAGTGGAGAATGACTTTCGCCGAAACCCCTGCATGGAAAGGGCATGCCGGCGACCACATGAAAACGTCTGAGTTTTCTAGTCGGCCTGAAGCCTAAGGTCTTTGTGCTTTGCGAGTGCGTTGGCATGATATTGGAAGGCCTGAGTCAAGTCTGAACAGCGCGCGTGGTCTGAAAGACAATGCGCAAGATGTGACATCATGACGCTTTATGACACCTGAAGGACCTGAAGCTTACGTGCATGGGCGGTTCTCTTTTCGCGAAGTCACTTCAACCACAGAATCCAACTGCCCTCAACTCAGAAGGAGCCAAACCCAAGCCCTGAGCAAAGGACCACATTGACATCCTGAACCTTAATGCTCAAAACCCTGCACCCTAAACCCTAAACCCTAAACCTTCAAGCTCGGAAGTCGATCCTTGAAGGCGTTAGCGGCCACTGTCGAAGGGGCAGCTCGCGGCCCCACCTTCGTTTTTATGATTGATTCTAGTACGACGATTACAATCTTGATTTCGATTGTTTTTCATGATATTGGTTCTTGACGGTTGCTTTTTTGATTAGTATTATGATTGTTATGAATAAAAATAGGTTTCTTGGATCATTATTTTGATTATTATTATTATTATGACTATTATTATTCTGGTTGCTATTGTTATGACTGCTTTCATTTTAAGCGCAGCCGCTGTTCTGGAACTTCAGCATATCAAGTTACCGAAGCACAAGGAAAGTAACATGTAGCATATGCTCTGCATGCATATCATGTAGCTTCGGCTTGAGTTTCAAGTCGCAGCAGCCGATGGAATTTTGGCTTGTGATTGGGTGCCGGAGGTTCTGGGGTGGGTTGTTTGGCACTAGGCATTGGGTATTGGATCTATGTGCCCTGCAGAACAGCAATGAAAATCACATCATTGCAAAGGATACGACCTATATAATCGTTTCTTGCGGTTTTGCATGGGTCATCTGAGACTGGAGAAGAATCGCTGACGAGGTCAAGGGGAGGGTTGTTATGCGGGTCCAGGACTGCATCCAAGCACCTGCAAATCTAGCATCGAAGCTGCTTGGGGGGTGATGGATATGGCCCAATGGCTAGGCGTGCCTTTGCTGCCCCCTCCACCCCTCCCTCCCTGCCTCCCCGCAAGAACAATATCAAACAGAAATCCTTCATGTGAACCACAGAACGGGCACCTTCAAGAACCATTCTGTTGGAGCCCCATGGCCCTTCGAGACCTAGGTGCCCCTGAGCCCTGAACCCAAACACGCCCCCGTGTGGTCTCTTGGCCAAGCACATGAGTACCAGGCTTTTGGAGCCGCTTGTTGGTGGCCCGGCGCACCGAACTGAAGCCTGCGCAGGGTTTAGGGTTTAGGGTTTAGGGTTTAGGGTTTAGGGTTTAGGGTTTAGGGTTTAGGGTTAGGCGGTCCAAGATGGCTTCCTGGGTTTGTATGGCCTTCGACTCATTGGCCCCGAAAGAGCGGAAGACAAGAAACGCAGCTTACAGACCGCAGACCCGCAACAGAATATGCAAACCACACAAGGGACCCTAAACCCTAAACCCTAAACCCTAAACCCTAGACCCTAAACCCTAAACCGGCTTGGTTTGGGGGTGGCCATAGTCGGCCTGCCCATGGGCGAAGCCATGATGGCGCCAACGCCAGGCAGAGCCCAGCACGGAAGGCGCGAAAGGGCATGGCTTTAGGCTTGCGGGCGTAGAACAAAAATGCTAAACAATAGTAATAATAAGAATAGTAAGAATGAGAACAATAATAATAATCATAATCATAAAATTGTTTATAATTAGGGTGATGGCCCGACGGGTCCGTATGATCAGGGCAATCAAGTTTGGATTGCTGCTGGCTCAATCTGGCTGACTTCTTTCAGGCCCGTCGTAGTTCGTGGTCGTCAGGGTCCTATGCATTGGAGGTTGAGGGTTGGCTGATCGACGTTTGAACATCTTCGTATCTCCTAAACTTAACCTATCCCGTTCAACCCAAACGAACCGGGTTTTCGAGCTTGGGGTTGCCTGGTTTGCATGGGGCTTTGAGGGGGGGGGGGGGGGGGGGGGGAGACTTTACATGGGGCTTAGGATGCTAGGGCTTAGGGTTTAGGGCTCATGGCTTGGGGTTTATAGGGTTTGGGGTTTAGTGTTTAGGGCTTGGGGTGTGCACCACATGTGGTGCACAGCTCCAGAGCTGGACGTTCACGTGGCAGGTGCGTGTGAAAACCTGGCAACCAGGATCGAAGAGGCCTTATCATCCCCAAAGCCAACCCCATGTGGGTTGGGATGCTCCCCCCTTACACTAGCAGCCCTTAACCGGGATTATAGTACACCCTACTATAGTGCCTATTAAGGTATTATAGTACCACCTATTTCAGTCCCTATTAAGGACTGTTAGAAAAAGTGGGAGAACATCCCAACCCACATGGGCCATTTCTTACAAGTACAAGGCAGAGAGGAGCCCATCCTGGTATGTGCCAGCCGGGCTGGCCCTTCAAACATCTGATTCCTGGTTTAGGGTTTAGGGTTTAGGGTCCTCTTAAACCTAACAATATGGGAACAGATACACGAACCAAGGGCCTACCCAGGAAAAACCCTCCTATAATATCCCGAAATCGTACGACTTTCCCCTTTCTCAAGATCCCCGAAGTATAGGTAACCTTTGGGAGACCCCTAAACCCGAAACCCTAACCCTAAACCCTAAACCTAAACCCACCCTAACATGTGGCAAGAGAAGTTGATCAAGCAGGCATAAGCGCTTCTGAGATGCTTTCGAAACCGAGAAGCTTGGAAGCCTCAGGCAGTGTTCTCACGGTTTTTCCCACCTGCCTAGATCTGCCTAGTCTTTCTGTTGGTATATGGGGGATTGAGGTACCCTATATAATCCCTTAAAGGGCACATATAGGGGGATATAGGGTACCTCATCCCCTCATTCCCTACTAACCAACAGAAAGTAGACCCTAAACCCTAAACCCTAAACCGTAAACCCTAAACCCTAAACCCTCCACCACCTCATACGTCCTGAACCCGCTGCTCACTCTGAAGACACCCTAAACCCTAAACCCTCCACGACCTCATACCAACATATGCTACACGTTGTGACTACGCTGATGGCACCCTGCCTGGCGATACACACAAAAGGAAACATCTCCGCCGAGTGTCGTAACTTTGAGACTGAGCGAACTTGCGCAGCTCTTCGCGCCTCAGGCAAAGGCTTTAGGCTTTGGGGGTTTACGGTTCAGGTTTACATGTTTACAGCTGTCCAGTGTCAAACCTCAGCAGGCTGCAACCCTGAACTCTGTCGATTATTGCACTCTCCTGTGCCCTGGCAAGGACCAATGAGCTCGGGCTTTGCTGGCCAAGAAGCCGCCTGTTCTCATCGTGGGAATACTTCTGGTTTATCTCCTTGGCCGGTGGGGTAGGGTAGGAATGTTTTGCCGGGCTGGGACCCTACGCCCCAATGCGCAACAAAACAACGAAGAGAAGACGCGCAATGGACGAACCGCCTTTTTAAGTCGCTGGCAAAAGAGGCCGGGTCACCGGATCACATCGACCAGGTAGGCCCTGTGAGCCAAAACTACAAAACGGCAGGAGGAGGTGGCCCTTGAGGCTCTCCATTGGCCTCCATTCCGCGACCTTCCATGGCCATTCGTCGTTCCCTCTTACACTGACAGGCATCGTGCCGAATTAAACAGAGGAACTGGTATTAGGGTTCAGGGTTTAGGGTTTATAAGGGTTTAGGGGTACTGCCTTGGGAATATTCCGTGGGTTCAGAGATTGACGTGCAAGGCTGTCCTCTGCTTGTGGACGCACAGGTGGTGCTTGTCATGGCCAAACAAGTTTCTGCCACGGACTCCTTCTAAGGTCCAAACGTATTCAGGGGAGTATCTTGCCGCACTTCTGCAACATGGGGGTGCAGAGTGTAGTTAAGCTTCAGGTGCAGCGGCTGCTAAAGGGGCCACACAAGGGCTTGTGGGTTTTTAGCTCAAGCTTACGGCTGCCACACGATACACCTCAGGCTCCCAAAATCCGAGGGACAAGTTCAAACCGGGAAAGCAACACAAACCAGGCAAAAGCAGGTCAAGAAGGCGGCTTCAGGCTCGACAGGGTTTAGGGCTTGGGTCTTCGGATCCATGGCACGTGCCCCCATGAGCAGCGATGTTCGCCGCAGCTTCACAACGGCCAGGGTGGCTAGGAGAGACCGCGGGCATGAGGATTTCAGGTTTCGGCATCCTGTTGCGCCCTACCATGGCCCATTGGTGGCTTTCGCCTGGGGATGTCGAGAAAAGGCAAATATCAACATATCAACTAGGAGCTTCTTTGGGCACTGTCAAGACCCTACAAGGTATACTTACACTCTAGCTCACTTCTAACCCGCCCTAAAGCCAACAAACAATGCAATCACATACTGGAGATAGCTGCTTTCTTGCTATTGCGGGAGAGTGCAGATCTGAAGCGCGTCAACATGCGGCTCCATGTCAACCTTGGGATATAACTACAACGAAACAGAAATGAATAATGACGAATACACACAGATATATATATATATATATATACTTATTTATTTATTTACTTACTTATGTATTTAGACTTACATTATTTACTTTGTTTAATGCATTTATGCATACTTTTTCTATCTATGTTATGTGTGTGTGTGCTCATATCCATATATGTGTGTATATATAAATGGAAAATGAATCTCAACATCTCATTTCTAGGATGCCGGCCGCCAAACCCTGGGCAAGCCTCAATGACGCCCTGTGTCCTTCCCCAAAAACTTCACGCCCTGTGTCCTTCCCCAAAAACTTCAAGCTCTTGACCAGACCGCTTCGGGGAGAGATCTTCGTTAGACAGATATCTGGATTTACGAAAATTTGAGTTGATGGGTTTCAGGCCACTCGCCACTAACGGTCACTACCCTGAGCCTCGGCCGCTGAGAATCCCACTTGCATTCTGTACTGCGCGCTTGCCCTTCGGGCGCGAGCTATGTCACAGTAGGAAACCGGAGGCACCGAAGGGCCCTAAACTCTTGAGGGTTTTGGGCTTACGGTTTAGGGCTCAGGGCTCTGAATTCAGAAGGGCATTTATGATTGGGAAGAAGTGGTTGCAAGTAGTGACAACATGGATTGCTGTAGCACAGTGCACATGAAGTGCCTGGAGGACGCGATGGGACTCTGAGAAGAACAGCAGCGCCCATATCATGACGGATGGGCCCGGGTCTTTGGAATCCGCCCAGCTAAAAGCCCCTAAACCCTAAACCCTCAACCCTCAAGCCCAAACCCTAAACCTCAAACCCGCCCTTGTTCTAAAGTCGTCTGGGTGACCTCCGGCTCCTATCGGAGCGTACGCCGGGCAGCCGTGCACGAACCCTAAACCCTGAACCCTGAAACCTAAACCCTAAATCCTAAGCCCTGAACCCTAAACCCTTATAAACCCTGAACCCTAAACCCTGAACCCTAAACCTGCACTTGATCCTATGCCTGGTCGAGACCGGGCAAGACCTACGCATGCGGAACTGGAGCGTCGGTGTTGTGCGTATATGTGTACTTCTATGCTTAAAGACAAGTATGCATATGTAGGTATGTATGTATGTATGAATGTATGTATGTATGTATATACATATATACATACACATATACATAAGTAAAGAAATCTAGGAACATATGTACATGTACACACGCAAGCTTTCGCACGTGGTTGATCTGTCGACTTCAACTTCGAGAACCTCCCTCCCCCCCCCCCCCCATCCCCCCTCCCCCCTCCCCCCCTCGCCAAGCGACTTGAGCCTTTGCCTTTGCTCTCGTCTCCCGCAACATCCAAGCACCCCACACCCGAACATCTCGACTGCAGCCCCCTACACCCCCATTCACCCCAAACCGAACAGTCTATAAACTCTACACCCAATCCCTCAACCCTGAACCTTAAACCCGAAGCAACAGCTGCCCGAGTCGCTGTGGTTCTGTGCGTGCGCATCAAACCGACTCTATTGAGGGACGGCGGTTCTTGCTGTCCCCGGCTAGGGCTGGCAAGTCTCCTGGCTCCTTGCCGTGCTGCTTGCGGCTTAGGGGCTCAGAGTTCGGGGCCTAGGACTGGGATCACATGAAATCACCCAGGGTAATCTATGGTAATCTGCTGGAATTTCCAAGTCAACCCAAACAAACAACGCAGCACGGGGGGTCCTCGTCCCCGTGGAGGTCCTGCCGGAGGCTGTTTGCAGCTTCGAGTTGCGAACTCTTCTCAGCCTTATCTATACCCCCCCTTTTGCCCCTAAACTGCCTTAATGCTTCTGTGAGGACCACCAGTAGCCCTAGGCTGGAAGGGCGAGGGGGTAAGGTGTCTGGAGTGCAGGATGCCCCGATTGAGGGCTGCAGCAACATGCTCATGGCAAGGTCGTGCTGGGTGCAGCAGAACTGTAGCCGGTTGCAAACCCCGAGCCCTTTCAGCCATGAAGCTCCCTGTGTTGTGTAAGCCCTTAACTCAGGAGCCAAAGCACCCTCGTCTCACTGACTGCTCGCCTGGATAAAGGCCAATGCCCGCCGTAAAGCCCATAGCCCTTTTTTTGCTGAGAGTCTCACGCAAGAGCCCCGCGAACTCAGCTCCACCATTTTTGTTTGTTTGTTATGTTTCTCCCCCATGAACACTCAACCCTTCACTTCTTAAACCCAGACTCAACCCACAACGCCGGTCCGGCCAAATATCCGGCGTTTCGGGCCGAGGCATTCCAGCTCGCATGAGGACCTTCAGCTGTGTTCGGATTTCAGTTGTTTGAGCGTGTTCAGGGAGATTGGGCGTGGAGCTTGTTTTGTGTTTTGTGTGGGATCTACCATGCGCGACGCGGCCTGCAATCTGGCTTAGCTGTTCAGCCCTGACGTTTGGGGATCGTAGCCTTCGAGTTTGCACTGATCTGTCATGCGAAGGACGTCCTGTTGTAGGCTCTGATGAGTTTGGGGTTTAACCGTTTAGGGTAAACCGTAAACCCTTTTGAGCCCGGTCTGAGGTCAGGGTTTAGGGTTTAGGGTTTAGGGTTTAGGGTTTAGGGTTTAGGGTTTAGGGTTTAGGGTTTAGGGTTTAGGGTACCCTGAATCACCGAGCCGCGCGAACCGGATCGTCGTCGTCGGCTCCGTCCATCCAGCCCTGCTTTGCCGACGACGAGGCCTGAACGCCGCACCCGCACGCTCTCCAAGAAGCCACCGAAGGAAATCAGGGTTTAGGGGTATAAGGTCTAGGGTTGTTGGAGAAAGTCACGATTCCGAGTCTGGGCCCCTTTCCAGCTGAGACCTTTTGTGGATTCAAACTGATCAACATGCACCCTTGCGGTGTCCTCATCTAGGAGGTATAATGAGGAATATCGCTCCCACAATGGGGATCCAGCAAATCACAAAAATGACATCAAATCCCGGGTCCTCCAAAAGCTCGTGTGCACAAGGCCTTAGGGTTTCGAGATTCTGTGCGCCCCTCAATAAAAACTGTCAGCCTTTATCGCCCTCTCCACAATTTGCCAGGGTCAGGCCCTCAAGCCTGAAGGTTTTGGGAGGGGAGGTAGGACTTAGGATGTTTCCCCCTCATACGAACAGCCCTCATGGGATGACAGTGCCCTTTTTTGCCACTCCAGGCTCATCCTGATAGTACCCTCAACCCTAAACCCTAAACCCGAAACAATAATTCCCTACTAAGGAGCTGCGAGTGCATCGGGAAACCTCCCAAGGCAGGAACCCTGTGAGCCCTACACCCCACGGCCTGAGGGAGGGGGCCATCGAAGTCCTTCCGCTGCCAGGGGCACTCAGGGGGTTTAGGGTTTAGGGGTTTTAGGGTTAGGGTTTAGGGTTTAGGGGTTGTCTAAGTTTTGGGACTTTGGCAGTTTCCTAGAGGTCCGCGACAGGTCTCGTTTTTAGCCCAGCATCAGTAAACCAAGAGGCCCTCAACAATAAGATCAAGAAGGTCAAGGATTCCCAGACCCCCTGGTTTAGAGAGCTTAGGGGAGAAAGCCTTGGCAAGAAGTTCACCTCTAACTTTCAAAAAACCTGACACCTTGATATTTGGGAGCTATTCGGCACACTCGTGTCGCAGTCCAAAACAACTCGAAGCGATGCCCGGAATCCCCAAAAGCCAGACTTAGGGTGGAGGCAGAGCTTCAGCTTCACAGGTGGGGCGACAACCCCCTAAGAAGCCCAAGCCTACCCCCAAGGGTCCCCTACCCGAACCCGAAACCAGCAATCCTCAACGCCTGCCTGTACCCCAACCCTATGCAGATTCGTCTAACCACCACGACGCACAAGATTATCACAAGGCACACGACCTGAACATAGTAGCTTGAGATGTTCCCCCTTCTACTAAACAGTCCTTAAAATTGGGATTACAGTACCACTTACCCAATTCAGGTGCTGTTAGTGCAAGGGGGAACATCCCAAATAGGATGGCCCTTAATACCCTCAGAAAAACATTCCGGAACATGATCCTCTTAAACCCAATAAGGAAAAATACACAACAACCCCTAAACCCTAAACCCTAAACCCTAAACCCTAAACCCTAAACCCTAAACCCTAAACCCTAAACCCTAAACCCTAAACCCAACCCTGGCGCCTTCACCGCCGTGTCTAGCGGAGGCCACAGACCCGTGCCCGGATCCTTCCAGGGCTCCACGCCTCCAGAGCCGACTTGGGTTTAGGGTTTAGGGTTTAGGGTTTAGGGTTTAGGGTTTAGGGTTTAGGGTTTAGGGTTTAGGGTTTAGGGTTTAGGGTTTAGGGTTTGGAGAGGTTTTGGGGCTTGAGCCTAGATGTGACAGAAAGCTTGAGTTCTCGCTGCCTGTAGCTTTTTGAGGTTCCTGCGGAGTTCAAACTCCGCAACCCATGTAGCGCCAATACAGGACGTTCGTGCAAGGATTTCGGCGGCTGTGTCAAGGTATGTGAAGGTGGGTTGATATTCCGTGTACTGCGGACTCGAGGTCGTGAGTCATATGAAGGTGGAGCAGCTTAGATTTTGTAATTCCTTGTATCCCCAAAAGGACACCCATTAGATACACTCACCAAGATGAAAAAGGATCCTGAAAACACTCACAAAAAACAGTACTAAAAACCCTGGTTCATGTGGGTTTGCTGCTCTGCGAGCTTGTAGCTTGTGCCCGCGTGCTGCAAGCAGGCGTCTGAAGTTGCGTGAAGGTCATCTTCCGAGGAACTTTGCCACCGGAAGCCCACGTGAAGCTTGCTGTTTTCGCATCCGAGCTCTGGAGCCAAATCCAGAACGCTCTCCCCATTCTCCCCTTGGCACGCCTTTTTTTGCACAAAGCCAAGAACACCAAACCCACAGGGTCCATGTACCTATATGGTAGATACTTGAGCCCTACAGCTACTACCCTAAACCCTAAACCCTAAACCCTCAACCCTCAACCCCAAACCCTAAACCCCAAACTATATGGGAACTCCTTTTGAGCCCGGAAGGGTTCTTCGAGCACAAGGTTTTTCTAGCCCTGCCACGCCGCAAGCCCCACCATGCCCTGCCACAAGGGGCAGTTGTAAGTAGGGTTCAAAGTGTGCCTACCCATGAACCTCCAAGCAACAGGCATTCAAAGGCTCCAACCCCAAACCCTAAACCCTAAACCCAGGAGTAAGGGGAGGCCCGACCTCGCTTCCAGCGTGCAGCAGGGACTGGAATGCACCAATGCATCACGATGTTGAAGACATTGATGCAGCACGCGCTGGCCTGAGGGTTTAGCGTTTCGGGTTTAGGGGAGCTGCGAAGAGGCGTGTCCTGCTCCACTCATCATTCGCCCCCTTCCTACCCGAGAGGCCACAACTCTAGATGAGTTGAAGCCTTCATAACTAAAATAGGGTTTTGGGGTTATTGTAGTATAATTGCACAGGGACCATAAGGGAATGCTATTAGTAATTACCCTAAACCCTAAACCCTAAACCCCTATACTACTAGTAATTATAAGTGAATGCTATTAGCAATTATTCCACCCATAGTACTCATGTGCACCAAGCGGCGATGAGAGCGCCTCCTTTGCCCATGGCGAGTGCTAGCCTGCGGAGGTTGCGGAGACAGACCCCTCAATCCGAAGCTTAGGGTTTAGGGTTTAGGGTTTAGAGTTGAGGGTTTAGGGGATGTCTCACCCTAAACGGCGCTTAGCCCTGCGAGTAAGATGAAAGGATTCGCAAAGCATGCACGGACTGTGCACGACTGTGCAGGACAACCATCTGTGGCAAGGCACCGGTACGTCCGGTTGGTATCTTCCCTGGGAAACTCTGCCACACACCTCAGGTGTTGGGCTTAGGGGTTTTTGTGTTTACAGCCTATAGGGTCCCTTAGATACTCCGAAGCTTCTGAGATTCTACTCGAATGCACGACTGTGCAGCGACGGTGCTTTGGCCCGTCCGCTTCATTCAATGTCTCCCCACAGCAGCGAAACTGCGCGGTTTAGGGTTTATGGTTTAGGGTTTAGGGCTTAGGGTTTAGGGTTTAGCATCGAGAGCTTCGTGCCACCAACAGGCAAGAGCTGAAAGATTGACACGGCCAGCAGCAACTGCAGAGCTCCCACGATGTTGCTCACCTCGAGCCAGCTTAGGATCCGATTCTTCTGAGAAGTGAAGCAGCTGTGCCAGATCTGTGCGGTCTCGTTATGCACCGGGGGCTGGTCTTTTCTTAGAGGGGGTTTTGTGGTCTCAGGGTTTCTCGGCACATACTCCTCACCGCATGCCTCTTGGAGATGGTCACTCAACATCCTAGTTCACGCTGCTCAGCCTACTCGCCCTAAACCCTAAACCCTAAACCCTAAACCCTAAACCCTGAGAGGACAAGGTGGAGCTTGGGATCCCAAGGCGCAATCGCCACGGCCTTGATGCAGTTGTGATCATTCCTGGGTAGAGAGCTGTGGACAGATTGTGACATTAGATTCTGATACTACATCATATTCTGATACTATACACATATATATATATGTATATATACATAATACATCATATAGAAATATATCCATATATATATATATATATATATATTGTCTGCTGCTTATTGCATTGCTAGAAGAAGTGCTCCGATGTTCCCCCCTTCTTGTGGTGGTTTAGGGGAACTGTGACTCAAAGGGGGTGCTAGCAAGGGATGACTGGGCCCCCACCGGTAGGAGCAGGTTGGAATCATTGAAGCCGGCAGGCTCCAGGTTCGAACTGCAACCTTATGGGTGTTTACGAAAATAAGGCACCCCCATTAGAGTCCCCAAATAGAAGGATTCCCTCAGAATCAGGACCCCCAAGAAGGTACCCCCCCATTTCGGACACCCCCATTATACCAAAACTGATGCATCTGCCATACAGCCGAACCCTCAGCTGCAGGCAAAGGCTCCGGGCTCGCATCCGCTGCACGTCGGTCCAGATGTTGAAGAGGCTGCAGCCAATGGAGATGAACGCCATGGCAGCACATCCTGCCAGCGACAGGGTTTAGGGTTTAGGGTTTAGGGTTTAGGGGTTAGGGGTTAGGGTTTAGGCTAGTAAACCGCAGGGTGGCCCTTTGAAGGATAGAAGGCGTGAGGATGGCAGCGAGGCTCGGCTTGCCCTCTTCAAAGCTTGATCTGGGCCATCCTTTCCCAAGAGGCCTGCGAGGCCTGCTTCACAAGTCACAAGCTTACGTAACCCTAAACCCTACAACCTACAACCCTAAACCCTAAACCTTACTAAACCCTAAACCCTAAACCCTAAACCCTAAACCCTAAACCCTAAACCCTAAACCCTAAACCCTAAACCCTAAACCCTAAACCCAAACCTCAACCTTTCTGGGTAAGGATGACGTACGCTTTAGCCACACCAAGTTCAGTAGCAGGCCACAAGGACGCTCGAGCCTTCAAATTTGAAGTCTGAACACCAAGCGGACCCTTAAATACCCTAAACCCTAAATCCCCTAAATACCCTAAATACCCTAAATCCCCTAAATACCCTAAATACCCAAAATACCCAAAATACCCTAAATACCCTAAATACCCTAAATCAGAATAGACCAGCCAGGCCACCCCGTGAGGCGTCGCGGCAGATATTGCAGTACTCACCCGCCCCCAAAGAGCTCAGATCTGCGATGCAGTTGTCCGCATTCCAGGGAATGGCCTGAAACGGGATACAGGGCAATTTGTTGCTCACTTAAACCCGATGAGTTGGGATGTTCTCCCTTGTACGAACAGCCCTGAATAGGGATTATAATAGGGGGGGGGGGGGGGTACTATACTCCCAATTCAGGACTGCTAGAAAAACGGGGGAACATCCTAACCTACAAGCCCCAGTCATGCTCAAAACCTGACTCTGCGTGTTTACGAGTTTTCAAGCAAAGAAACCATCCACGTAGGAGTAAGAGGGTCGAGGCTGCCCGAGCAACCGAAGAATCCAAACCGACTCTAAGGTTCACACCCTCTTCGGCTGCTGACCCCTAAACCCTAAACCCTTTTTAAGCACGGACTGAGGAGGCTGCCCCTAAACCCTAAACCCTAAACCCTAAACCCTAAACCCTAAACCCTAAAACCCTAAACCCTAAACCCTAAACCCTGGATTGGGCCCCACAAGGCCGGCTAGCGTCAGGGGCAGTAGCTTCCGCGATGTCAAGAAAGGGCCGAAGACAATAAAGAGCACATGGCCTTAGGATGTTCGCCCTTGTACCTGACAGTCCTTAATAGGGATTATAGTACCCCCCCCCCCTTCGAATCCCTATTAAGGGCCCGAAACCCTAAACCCTAAACCTTAAACCTTAAACCCTAAACCCTAAACCCTAAACCCTAAACCTTAAACCTTAAACCCTAAACCCTAAACCCTAAACCTTAAACCCTAAACCCTGTTAGGTATAAGGGGGGGAGCATCCCCCCCTCTGGCCTTGTAGATCCTGTACTTGGCGCTTTCGACGAGCAGGGCCTCGAGCCCTATAAAGATGTCGGCCTGGCCGCTTGCTTGCTTGAGGCTTAGGGCTGTTTAGGGTTTAGGAGTTTAATCGCTCACACGACACGCCAGGCGAGGTACACTCGAGGGTTTAGGTGTTTAGGGTTTAGGGTTTATATAGGGTTCAAAAAGGGTGTAGGGTGTAGGCATAGGGTTTAGGTCCAGGTTCTGGGAGTTCAAGCTTGCTCAGTCTCCCCTGAATTTGTTTCGTAAATGAGGAGGGATCGCGACTGATTTCACAAGTCAAGCTCGCAGATAGCTGTAGGTTACCATGGCGTCATCCAGGAAATCCAACAGCTTCCATGATCAAGTCTTGAAGCCCCTGGTAATCATGGCAAGATCACTACGAACTAAGAACGAACAATTCCTTAGTAACAAGTCTGCACGAAGATAGTATTAGTGACCATACTAACCCGATAATTGGTGGTAAGAACAGATGATAAACAAATAAAATCAATGAAAAGTAATGAAGGTGAATAAACGATTATTCGTTCACAACACAGTCTCGTTCACAACACAGTCAAACAAAAAACAGTCATGATAAATTGACAGTAGTCGTCAGTAACAATTGCTGAATGACTCCTATACATGAGAATAATAATCATAATAGTAAAGAAAGACTATAGTACCAACAAGCACTAGTAGTAGCAATAGGAATCGTCATGATTATAACAGTGACAATAATAAGAGTAACCATAACAATATTTCATCATCGTGAATTAGCTGTGACATCTTAATGACTACAAAGCAACATATTGACGAACAACAACGATACAATGGAAATGTACTGACATCAATCCTGACGCGGGCCTCCATGTCCCGGCATTTGTCGGACCTAACGCGAGCAACACACAGCGGTGTGGAAAGGGTTTAGGGTTTTTTTCTTGGGGTTTAGGATCCCTCTCTCTCTCTCTCTGCGAAGAAGGTACGCGCAGATTCGAACGACTGGTGTGTTGGATCATGAGTTTGCGCAGTCATCGCCACTTAGAGCGGTACACCCCCATAAGGCTCTCCATGCGGGCTCTGATCATAGCTTCCCAGCTGAGACAAGCAGCTGGAGGCACGTATATTGACCATAGGCCCATGGCCACTGATGCAGGTTGCCTGGAAGGCGCAGCTCTGACAGGAGCCCAAACAACTTGGTAGCCCAGTGAACAGATTATAATATGGGCACCCTTTTTGGGGTTTTGTTACTTTATAAGGGAACCCAGAACCAACAAAAGGGTAAAGGGTACCACTGGGCTACCAAGACAAAAACGGAATGCTGTGTTTACTCGGCTCAACTTTCTGGACATCGAAGACCTTGCTACAACTTTCGGATTGCGTGGCCAATAACAGGTAAAGAACAATTACAGAACATGCATTCGGTCGGACACACATTCAACAGCGATGGCCTAAACTGGATATGGCTGCTTCGCCTGCTGTTTTTTCCAGGCTTGACGGGTAAAGGATGGGGCGCCATGGACCCTTTTCGCTAAACCCTAAACCCTAAACCCTAAACCCTAAACCCTGAGTGCTTCCGGCACCTTTAGAGCCTCTGCTGCCAGGGCTTTGAGGATACGTGGCAGGCAGGGTGAAGAAGCTTGGACGCTCATGCACCAGGTGGGGGTTTCCGAAATTCGGGGGGTACCTACTTGGGGTCTTTATGATAAGGGAAGCCTACTATTTGGGGGTCTATATTGGGGGCCCCCCTATTTTCGTAAACCCCCATGTCGGGTCGGAGACAGAACAAGAGTACGGTCAAAACACAGAAGCCTCCCTCAGTCCCCATGCCGCCTAACGTGCTGCCACCAGTAAAAGCATGTCCAAGTGTCCTCGTTCCGTGGACAGCGCGGCCGCAGGTAACCCTCGCAGAAGTGCTCCGATCCTCAGCATGCAGGTTCTGAGGGCTCACCAGGTAAAGGGAATTTGCTTCCTTCACTCATACAGCCGTATAGCAGTACCGCAAGCTACCCCGGATCTTCCCGGCCGCAACGCAGCATGAAATGATGTTGCTGTGAGAGCCATATGCCTATCTCCTCAGGGCTTGTGAGGTCACGAAAGAGTCCTCATCCCAGTCAAACCTCTGGCGCCGGACCAGCGCAAAGTGGGGACAAGAGTATTTGGTTTTAGGGTTTCGGAAATTGTTTAAAGGGTTTAGGGGTCGGTGATTGATGGGTTCTACCCCTGCGACGTCAAATCGTGGCGCATCGAAAGCACGAGGGAGACCAGCAAGAGCAGCTTCCTTGCGGCGCGGCGCTGTCAGATGCTTTTGAAGAACGAGTTGCACCCATCGAGCCCCTTTTGCCCAAGATCCTCAAGTCTCCACTGTAAGGACTGTAATGTTAAGGCCTCATGATCACGACAGCACCGCTGCAAAAGTACCCAACACAAACGCGCAAGACATGGGGGCCAGTGCGTCCTGAAGTTTCCGAAGGCGGTTATGCCGCATCCTTGGGGGGCACAGGCTGGTGGCAAGTCAGGGCCATGGGGCTCTGCCAGGATTCAGGTATAGGGTTTACTCGGCGCTGTCTCTGAGTCTGAGCAACTGAGCGCGACTGCACTGGGTTGAGGGTTTAGGGTTTAGGGTTTGCTTAAGGTGCCTTAGAGAAGCGTGGGGTCCATCATGGGCACGATAAACAACACTTGCATGCCAATTCGACTGGTGTGCTTCCGGCTCGTGGTTGAGGAACCGAAACTTTTAGTCAGAAGACTTTGCACCACAAGTCCACACATGCGTTGAGTGTAAGACCCTCGCCCTGAAAGCCGAAGCCCAACAGCTTCCCTTATTTGAACGACCCATGCACAGTGTTAACCGACAATGCTTTTGGTGAAGACCCCCCCCCCCCTAAGAATAAAGACATTCTGCCTGGCAAGAGCATTATAGGGATCATCATCTTTTATCTTCTGGGGGGGGGTCTGAAGCACATGGTAGCATAGCAGTATCAGTTCTCAAAGGATTGGGGTCCTTTGCATTCCCGTCATGGCAGGTGTTGAGTTGAAGTACCTGAACATAGCAGCAGCCATCCCCTTCCTATTATTAGGGTGCAAAGACCTACTTCGATGACCCAAAGAGCTGCAAGCAGTGCAGGCAGGTGGCTCCCTATTCGGAAGCAGCACGCATTTGCCTGGCTGGCTGGATAGAGGGGTGGGGGGTCGGGGGGTCGGGGGGGGGGGGGGGGGGGACTTTACACACACACACAAACATACACATACACACACACACACACGTATATATATATATATATACATATAATGTATATATATATATATACAGGTAGTTCTCTCAAGTAGGGTCCCTTGTGGGGTCCCATAAATAGCTTGCTTGGGAGTTGAGTTCGAAGCACCCTACCTGAAGAACCCCTAGACTTTGCTTACTTGTAGGCGACCCAGAGGGTGTCCGAGCACCTTTGATTGCGACTTCACTAAGAACCTACAAAAATGGTTGGCCAGAATAAAGGCTACCCGTTTTGGCTTAAAGGGAATCATGAGGGGCCCCAAACCCTACAAAAGGGAACAAGGGCCCTTCTCTGGGTCCTAGTTGGTTCTCCGATTCTTGAGGTAAAAACCCAAAATGCCCCGAAGATTGCACGCGCACGGCTTCATGGCCTCGCAACAGCGAAAAGGGCAGCCACCGCGCCGGAGACACCGCAGGGGCGGTATACCGGGAAGGCAGGGTATGCCTTAGTCTCTTACAGCTTCAGGGGTTCGTTCTTTTGGCAGGGTATGGCAGGGCGTCATCAAATTGCAAGGTTTTGAGCGTGGGGCCCAAAGACTTGGCTTTGCTGAATGGCGGAAGGCCCAGAGCCAGAGCCTCCAAAGGCCTGTTCGGCTTTAAAGCCTACCCCAAGCCCTCGTTGAACCCAGCCCTTCTTGAACATGAACCCTCGGGAGATGGTGCCGTGTCACCAACAGACCGGAATCTGCATGATCTTTGTCACCTATCCACGGCCACGCGCACCCGCAGACCGTAAAATTTAGGATGTTTAGGGTTTAGAGTTTAGGGCTTAGAGTTTAGGGTTTAGGCCTGCCACGGACCATCAGGCAAGCATCGGTCCAGCCGCCTTTCCAGACGAACGCCGAAATCCGCCAGCCTTCCGCTTCCAAGGGTTTAGGGTTTAGGGTTTAGGGTTTAGGGTTTAGGGTTTAGGGTAAGCGTTGATCCCAACCCGGCCAGGGTCGCTCTGTTTTCAAATCCGGTAGCCCTTCTGGGTTGTTGGGTGCTCAATGAAGGACGAGTGAGGTATCTAGATGGGGATCCATGCAAAGGGAGCAAATCCTACCTGTCATCACAGCTTACCCCATGTTGGCGTGGTGGTACAGCCTAGCTAGATGATGACTTCTCAAGGTCATGCAGCTTTGCGTGTTGAACGAGACTGTCTGCCAAGACGCACGGCGCACACTACGTCCTTTGCACGGCGCCTAAACCACGTTGCATGTGGCCTCTTGCGACAAGTCGGCACGTCGTCCTTGATCTGTGGGATGTCATCGCCGGCCCCTGCAGAACTTCTTTCGGTTGTTGAAACGTTGGGGGGGGGGGGGAGGTTTTGGGCTGTCGTGGGTTAGAGGGGCTTGCAGTAGGGGGTAGTGAGGTGTTTATGGCTAACGCCGTTCACTTATGGCGCGCTCTATTTCTATGCAACTTCGGTTTAGGAGTACAGGGCTAAACGCTTGAAGGGGTTTCAGAGGCTTATTTTCAGTTCGGGTGAGGGACTGGTTGGGGATCCCATGTTCTTGCCTTCGGGTTCAAGGGATCAGGCTGCAGGATTTTCATGGTGGAGGACAAGTCGAAATCCTACACATCCACGGACAGGCACTTCAACTAAGCTTCCGAGACCCTAAAGCCCTACATCAGGGGCTTTCGGGCACTTATATAAAACCCTAAGATGCCCCCCTGACTCCCGTTTGGCCTGCTGAGGTTTTGCCGGGCTTCTCGGAATCCTCTTTGATCTGGCGCAGGGCACTGTGTGCTTTGCTGGTGAGTACGTAGCTACTTCAATTGTGTTTTGGCTCCATAACCTGGATGCGACTTTTCTCCAAGCGAGAAATTGCACGGCGCACGGGCAGAGTCATCGCACAATTGAACATTTGGTCCGTCTCCGGCTCATGAACCGAAATGCGTCCGTGCTGTCCAACGTTGGACCACAGCAATATCGGTTGCGTTTAATTGTCAACTGTATCGGTATACATCCTAAACCCTAAACCCTAAACCCTAGAAACCCTAAACCAGCAGATGGAACAGGCTGCAGCTCCCACTGCGTTTAAGAGGAGTCAAACGCGCCAAACCCTTTTGTTTTTTGAACCCAGACTCCCGAAGTCAGCGCCAAGTTCATAAACCCTAAACCCTAAACCCTAAACCCTAAACCCCAACTGCCATCGGCCTCAGAAGTGCGCGGCTCGCCGCCGGGGGTTTTCGGCCGCTGGTCGCGCGTCTCCGGAGAAGGAGGCTCCGCCGGAATCATGCTACGGCCCGCGTGACTCAGGGCGTAAGATGCAATATAGCGTCCTTGATAATTCATTAGAGTCGGGCTTTTGGATTTGGGCGGTTATTGGAGTATAAATATAGAAGGGCCATAAGGGAAGACTAGTAATGATTAGTCCAGCCTTTCTGGGCTGAAGAAGGGCTCGGTGTATCTAATCATAATCTAAAAATCTGGGCATTTCGACTTTCGGGGTGGGCTTTTGGGACGGCTGTGGGATTGAGGCCTGAAGTTTTTGTGACTACTCATGCAGGCCCCAGCTTGTCACATCATGACATGACCCTGCAAATGCTCTGAGCCAAGCTTCACCGGCAGCATGCTTCCATACTGAGAGTCGTGCTGACTTCCAGTGACTGCTTGCATGTTGATGCAGGCCCCTGGTTCCACCATCTATATATCTGGAGGATTGCGTAAGGCTCCAGCCGCTATTCGCCTCTTGTCCTCAGCGTCTTCAGCACAGTGCTGCAATTCTGCGTCTCGTTATGGCTCCCTAAGCTTCCCCCAAGGGTCCCTAGGTACCTAGCCCCCCATGAAGCCCCCCCCCCTCCCTTAAGAACCCTAAACCCTAAACCCTAAACCCTATATTCAGCCGGAGGGCTTTGTCACGCTTGCCCTTGGCAGGCCGGGATGATGGCTTTGGTAGCTGCCGTTCTTCTGGACTGTGGTCGTAATGGCAGTAGTTGCACTCCTCAGCTCAAACCCCTACAGACTATACTCCCCTTAGAACCTGAATTGAAACATGATATGTCTATTTATTCCCTTGGGTTTATAGAAACAAAAAACAACAAAATTATTCCTAAGGAGGTTGTAAGTGGTGACCTCCTCAGTGCGGTCGAAGAGTCACTTCCATTGCGGCATCCAATTGACCTCAGAAACACTCTTGGCGATTCTTGGCCTGAATTTGCTCATCTTGTTGCAGAGATGACTATGTCTCTTCAGGCACTTGGGATAGGGCCCTAAACCCTAAACCCTAAACCCTAAACCCTAAACCCTAAGCCCTAAGCCCTAAGCCCTAAGCCCTAAGAATAAGTTCAGCCTTACCGGCTCGAAAGTCCCTGCCTTTGAATATCCGGGCTCCAACCGTCTGCGACTTCTAAGTTCTCCAGACCCCAGCCTTCCTCCGGCTGCGTGTAAGTTTCGGGTTTCGGGTTTAGGGCTTCGGGTTTAGGGCCTTCGCTCGCCTCTGCAAGATTCTGCAACTCCCACATCATCTCTTAAGGCCCCCGAGGATTCTTCAGCTTCTTCATCCTGACCTATCTTGGGGTCGGAAGATCGCGAACCCATCAGCTCAAAGCTCCCGCCGTACACCAACTATGAACCCTAACCTCCCACATGCAAAGGGCCCTTATGAGGTCCCATGAAAAGCCCCAACCATGTTTCAGCTGCGTCTCCTTCAGGTCCCCAGACTCAGACACCGTTCATCAACCCGCACCCAGAATCCGGAATCCGATGCCTCTATTCCTGAACCTAAACACCCCCCGAAATAACATCCCTAATTCCCTATGGCACAAACCTCTAACAACCTCAATCCTAAGCCCGAACAACCCCTAAACCCTAAACCCTAAACCCTAAACCCTTTCGGTAGCCGGACAGAGCAACGCCGGATAACTGCCGAAAGGCCCGCACGCTCAGCACGTCTCCTTTATGCAACTGAAGAGCTAAACCCTGAACTACTAATTGCTTAAGAACCCCGAAAAAAAAACAGTCTTCTTTATTAAGGGGTAATATAGGGACTATTATTTTGTTATTCTTTTGGGGTTCTGAAGCAAGTACTAGTGAACTCTAGTCCCTAAAACCCTACAAACCCTCAACCCGCCGGGCCGCGGAGTGTAGAAAGCGCAAGGTCGGCAGCCAGCCTGTTTGTTGGCGGGGTGCGTAAACTCTTCGGACACACCTCTTCGGCTGTTCCCCCTAATACTAACAGTCCTTAATGGGGATTATAGTACCCCCTATTTAATCCCTGTTAGGCACATCGCCACACACCTGCTTGGAGATCAGGACGCCGTTCAAGGGATGCTATTGCTGGTGTTTGGTTTGGGGGGAGAAGATGGGGCAGGTCGTGCGGTCTACAAGCTTGAATAGGATGAGCAGCTTCAACGTTGCTAGTCCATGAATCTTTGAGAAGCCCGGTAGGTGCTTGCCGGAAAAAAAGCCATGAGGGCTCAACATCTACAGAGCTAAGCAGTGGACAGCCGTCCCATGACCAGCGGAGCCCACGGAAGGCGGCTGCCCCCGTCGCCGCCGTGCCTGCGGTGAGGTTCATGGGCGCCGAGAGCTCAGAACAGCAGCGCAGGGGAGAAAATGTGGGGAATCCCTACCTTGGCCACAATCTCCTGTTCAGACTCCGTGTCTGTGGGGTCCGACACCGAGTCGTAGAGGATGTGCTGTGCCTTGGAGTCTTGGAGATTTGATGGGAGGACCTAGGGGGCTCAGTTTTCAGAAGCTTTTGCGCTATGGCCTTCGCCAAAGGCTGGTTAAATGTCACTGTGGGCTCGTCGGTTTGGGGGCCGGTTTGGGATCGCTCGTCTCTGCAATCAGCTCACTCCAAATTGGATACTTCCCACGTCGAGGTAATCTTGCTGCGTGGCATGAAACATACACGCACAAAGCGACCCTAAAACCCTAAACCCTAAACCCTAAACCCTAAAACGACTATGAATAAAATCAGAGCCATCGTGGGGCGGGGGGGCCGAGTTAAACGAGGCAGATGCAAGCAGGGAGCTCGACCAACGGGCTCCCCCGGTGATCGAACCTGTGCATTCAGATGTGTTTTTGTTGCTTAGGGTTTAGGGTTTAGGGCTTAGGGGTTCTGAGGCCTTAGCAGGGGTTCATTTCATTCAGCTGCTCTGGCTCACAAGCTGATCCTGCAAGCTTCTGGGTTTAGGGTTTAGGGTTTAGGACCCAAGAAAAGGACGCGAAATATGCAGCAAAAACACCCACAATGCCCGGAAAAAAAACATGGACAGCCCCCGCGCGAGAAAGCACGAGAGAAGCCCACAAGCCTCTGCGGAGTACTCTGGCACCATGGCTCCAGGAAAGTCCTTACGAGGGGCTGCATCCCCAAACAGTGAACCTGAACCAATCCTTGACTTCTTGAGAGCAAGTTTGCAGCGTTGCTACACAGTCCCTAAACCCTAAAAACCTAAACCCTGAACAGGAGAGCCTTCAACACCGATGCAAACAAGCGGCTGGGATGGACTCACACCGTGTCCTTGCCGAAGCCTCCGCGGAACATGGCTCTTGATTAGGGTAGGGTTTCGGGTTTAGGGTTTAGGGTTTAGGGTTTAGGGTTGGGTTTAGGGTTAGGCCCACACAGTAACACTCTCCTCGACTCTCTCTTAAGGCAGAACTTCTTGAGAGACATAAGGGCCCTCAAGAGATCTCGAAGTTGTTTATGGCTGCTCCCAAAGTTGTTTCTCCTGCGTGGGCGTGACCTGAGCTCTTGAGTTCGTGCCCAGGCCCCATTTTACCGTGCTAAAGCTGAGGCAGAAACATGCTGCAGAGATGTACGGTTTCGGGGATCTGCGGAGAGGGTCGAGGTGCTTGGAGGTTTCGCAGTCGCGGCAGGCTAGCTCTGCTTTGTCTCATTTCTCTAGGGTTTGTGGAAGCCTGAGGCTCTTGCATTTGATAATAAACCCTAAACCCTAAACCCTAAACCCTAAACCCAGGGGGTGGGGGGGGCACTGGAGGCATGGGTTCCGACTGGTTATGTAGGGTTCTTGTAGTGGCCTTCAGTACCTGGTTCCGCAGGGCTTAGGGTATCCAAACGATGCTTCCAGTAAGGGCATTCCCTCAAGGCATATAGTTAATCCGCCGAGGCCTCGGGACGGAGGTGCCTGGGTAGCGTAAAGCCACCTCTAACCCAACGGCCCGTCCCCTTTCTTTGCCCACCGCTACGTCCCCACCCCCCCCCCCTACCCCCTCGCATCTACCCGGATCCGGTTGTCCTTGCTTGCGTGCGTTTCTTATTTTACCAAGGTGCCTGGTCTATGCATGAGCCTGCGTGGTTCAACCGGATCCCCAAAAGGGAAGGATTGCACCAAGCCTCTCAAAGCCCTGAAGCCCAACAGCGCCTTCAGACCCGCGATCTCCGGTTTGGGTTGCCTCTGGGCAGGCCCCGGCCGAGGCGGGTCGCGCAGCGTTAAGATTCGGCTGCCCGCGTGAATTCTTCACTCCCCGTGTAGCCAGGCCCAGGGAACCAGGGACCCAGGAGCCCCTCTGCTGGCAAGTAGCTCCCGCGCTCGCCGTAGGCAGTTCATCGTTAGCCATGGGCGAACTCCCACGTTCCCGAAGTGTAACGCGCAGCTTTCCCCCGACTGGACGTGTGGACTGCGTTGATATGCATAGGCTGCGTAGATGTACTTTTCATGCTCGAGGTTCCTGGACTTCTTCCCAGAGTTGAACAAAGGGATGCGGATGTTTGTATGGCACTGGTCATGAAACTACCTACAGGCCCGCTAGTACACGCGCGCCTGTCTAACTGGAGCCTTGAAGGGGGTGCTCCTTCTGACGTCGGCATCCTTCAAAAGCAGACTTGACAGGGCCTTTCCTTGCCATTCTTCGGCGCTCGCGGTTCTGGGGGGGGGGGGGCTTTCTCGAAAGCTGCAGAATGCGCGATTTTTCCTACGTGCCCCATCACCAAAACCGTCAAACCCTACTATAAGAATCCCAAGCCTTTTTTCAGGTTCCTTCTTCTTCAACCGCCCTCGAGAAGATTCTCAACTATTTGTTCCTAAATCCCCTCTTTTAACCACGAGGACTGAGGCCAAGAAAACGATCCTAAACTCCTAAACCCTAATTAAACATACACTGGCGCTCTCAGAGCAGCCAAGCAAACCCAGAAAGAAGAGACGGAGACTACTCGAAATAACCTCGGGCATACTCACGCAATGCTGACGCCCTAAACCCTGAACCCTAAACTCCTAGACCCTGAAATTCTGAAACTTCGGAGCCCTTGGCTGCATCCTTCAGGAGGATGTCAGCCAACCCATCTGCCCGGTGTTGTTGCCGCTGTTGCTTTTGCGCCTCGCCCAGGAACTCCTCACTCGGTGTGGGTAGGCTGTAGGACTTTGTTGTTGCCACTCACCTAGCTGACCCACTCAGAGCCACTCCGCAGGGACTTGAGGGTTTAGGGTCTAGGGCCTTTTCAGGGATTTGGCAGGTTTGGGGCTGTTTAGGGTCGTGCTGTTCTGAAAAGGGCCCTTCGAAATCAACTGCTTGCGGCACCATGTCTCGATGCAATTGAACTTTGTTTTCGAAACAGTCTGAAAACGACAATGGCCTTCGCCCTAATGCACCAGAACACAACATCATTGCATCACACTTCCAGCGCAGCTCATGGAAAGAGGTGGAAAATCAAGTGTGACATGCATTTCAGGACATCAAAGATGTCGGGACACATGGGGATCCATTTGTGGGACTGGGTGTTCCGTGGCACGTGTGTCTTGCTAAGTTTGACAAGGCAAGCCTGCGCTTAGTCGCATTTAGTCGCACTTAGTCATGCGAACCAGCATAGGGAAAGTCTTTGCAGCTCGCGCTTGGCAACCTTGACCGGGCAGTCAAGCACGATCAACATTTAGATTGGTATATAGATAACGCTGGGTCCTCCTCGGGCCATCGGACAAGTTCGCCACAACGAACCTGCAGCATTCTGCCATGGCCCTGTGCCGGCTAGTGGCCACTCAGGACCAGGCAAAATTTCGACGGCCTTATGTTACGAGTGCTCTCTCTAAATCCTAGAACCCATCGAATACAAGGGCCCATTCAATTAGAGTTGGTATGTTTTTTGTACTGCATATAGTGACATGGTGCTTCTTGTAAGGGAAGCATTCGTTGAACCCTAAACCCTCAGCCCAAAACCCTTTTCCCAAAACCCAAAACCCTCAACCCTAAACCCTAGGCTTTTCTAGCACCCTCCCTGGGGCCTCTCCATCCAGCAGCCGCCGGAGCAGCTGCGAGTTCTCCGGCCGCTTCAGAGCAGTGGCCAGGAATCCTAAGTTTCAATCGCCAGGAGCCAGGGTGACAACCCCCCACCCCATAGCAGTCCCGCCTACATCCCTAAATCTCGCTAACACAACAATTAAAACCATAGTAAGATTCTGTATATGGCTGTTGTAGGGTGACTGTATCCAATGGATGATGCAAGGCTGTCAAAGCAATCGCTGGCAATTCAGGGTGTGTAGGGTTCATAAATGAAGGCAGCGATAGATTCTGGCGATTCTCGCAGCACTTCGGTTGAGATGAGCCGCACATTATGGTCGGAGTATTCAAAGGCATGTAACTATTCTGGCTCCCATGCCGCCCTTAGCCCTTCAACACGAAAACAAAAGGGGGTTTACGAGAATAGGGGAACCCAAAAATAGACCCTCCGATAGCAGGATCCAGTTATAATGAGGACCCTTCATTTCGGAAATCCACAAATCACGGGCCTGCTCTCCGGGCCTGGCATCTGACAAAGAGGACCCAATCAGGCCCCCAAAGCCTCGTAAACCTCTAAACCCGAAACCCGAACTCCGGAGCAGCAAAGTGGCGCACTTTTTGACGATAGCCCCGTGAGGCCACATCTGCACTGGCCCAAGCAGCTGCCTTCCAGGTTGGGTAAACCCTAAACCCTAAACCCTAAACCCTTGTTTGGCACCCCAGGTCCTAAACTGCAAGGGCTTGTGCTAGCCCAACATGAGTAGAAGGCGTGATGTTGCGCTGGGTGGTTGCCGGTGTGGTGGCCAAACATAACATTGTACGCACCTTGCCAGTTTCACATGTATAAGGAAACAGAAAAGGGAGGGAGAGAGAGAGAGAGAGAGAGCAAGAATATCAGTATGCAATTAATTAGCCGTTAAAATACAGAAAGGGTCGGGGAGACTTTGCCTTTAGGGCTTGAGCAGGCTTCTAACCTCAAGGCGCTTCAGGGTGTTCGAGATTCTAGATGGTGCACATGCTGACCCAAAGATTGGCAGCCAGAATTCGCCCGAAATACTGGGCCATTTCGGCGCAGTGACTGCCACTGCTCATGGATCCTTCGGCTTAAGGTCAGTTCGGGGAGTTTCATGGCCGACTTGGGCCAAAGCGATGGCGGCCTCACCATGGAGCCTTGGGGACTTTAGCGGCTGCCGCCCTCCAGCACCTCAATCATGAGCATCAGCTGCACGGGAACCAGCTGAAGTTGGCCATGGACGCAAGTTGGCCCAGTTGGCCCCTAAACCCTAAACTTTAAACCCCAACTCTGGCTTGCTTCTGCGCCGTGGAAGCCAGGACGCCATGAAAGAAGGGAACCTTAAACCTTAATCAACTAAAGTAGCACTAAACGTCCAATTTACCTTGGGATGTTCCCCCCTTGATACTCATAGTCCTTAGTAGGGATTTTTAGTACGGGTACTAGAATCCCTATTCAGGACTGTTAGATACTGTTAGTATAAGGGCGGATGATCCCAAAACATACCAAACTGTGACATCCGAAACAAACCGAGCTGGGCCTCCAGGTCCCTGGCGCAGTGCCCAGCCACGGCCTCCGCCCACGCCACCTTTGGGAGGCGTCGAGCAGGGCTCGGAGTTGGGCGAGGAATGTAAGAAGACAATCACAGAATATCTATACAAGCATATAGAATATGGTCCGATATGATTTTACAATAATGATAATATTACTAATAGTAATATTAATATCAATAATAATAATAATAGTAAATACGAATAGTAATACTAAGCGGCATCGGACCCCTGAACTCGAAGCCTCGCAGCCTCGAGGCCTTGAGGCCTCGTCGGCTTCCGTGGCTTCAGCCAGAAGACTCGTTGCTTAAGAACCCCCCCCAAAAAAAATAAAAAAACAAAAATCACTACTATTTGCTTAAGAAACCCCACAAAAAAAGAAAAACTATCATGATCCCTATATTACCCTTGTAAGGAAGAGTATTTCTCTTTTTTTTTTTGGCGGGGGGGGGGGGGGGGGGCAGGGGGTGTTCTTAAGCAGATAGTAGCAGCAGCAGAGTTGTCCAGGCCCGTTTCGGGGGATGGCCCTGAGCTGCCCAGGCCTCTTGTGCCGACTAGACCCTCGAAACCTGACACCCTAAAACATCCCTAAGCGCTATTTTTTTTCGCTTTAGGGTTGTTTTTGGCACCCGACTGGACACAGCGTTTAGGGTTTCGGGTTTAGGGGTTTAGAGCTACAAGCCCTCAAACACTTAACCAGAACAAAACCTAGGACCCAAAATTCCCAACCCCAAAATGAAACAAACAATCCCCGAACCCCCTTAGCCCCCGAACATCGTCCAAATAGAACCCACGGACCACCTCCAGGGGAAGCTTTGGCGTGCCACGGGCTTCGATGAGACACCTGTGGAAGAAGGGCTTACGGCCTTAGGGTTTGGGGCGTTTCGGGTCCAGTTGAAGCTTCGACGAGGGCTGAAGCGTGTAGGCCATTTCAGGCTTTAAGACTACTAAAAGGGGTATCACAAGACAGGAAAGGAAGGGGGTTGGGGTTGGGCTGGAGGTGGCCAAATGTGTAGGGTCGTTCGTTGCGTTGCTTCCATCCGATGGCATACGTCCCCCATGTCATGACCCCGTTCGTATAAGAGGGACCTTGTTCTAGCAGGGACCTCCTAAAAGGAAACATGCCGTAGAACTGACCAACTCTTTCTCAGACTCTATAACCTCTGCAAACCTTGCTCGGACAGGCTTTCTTGCGAATCCTTGTCTTAGTGGTCGTCCACCACTCCCAACCTTGCAGTTTGTGGCGGTTACTCAACACAAACAGAGTTCATCCGAAGGTGCACCGAACCTGGTCAGGAAGTCAAGCGATCGTTGCCGAATGTGGGGCTCGCCATTGCTGTCCATGCTGGGTCTGTATATCTCAGCGTTTGGCTAGGGTGCAGTTTCCTCGAAACCGTTGGCTATAACCCTGTCTTTATGGAGGATGATGCTGACCCCGTCTGGGCTGCTGAACACTCCGTTCGCGGAGCTGGCTGATGCTTTGGCGTTGGGCTTTGGTCTAGACTGCGTTTTAGCCGATTGTGGATCCGACTGCCGGGTAGCTGTACTAGATGCAAGTCGCCTGATGTGCTTTGATCTGGGCTACACGTTCGACATTTTGATGATTTCTTGAGTTTCTGTGCGCATGGCACGGCCGAGCCTACGTTGGCGGGTTTCCGCCCAACTGACCGGCTTGAGAATTGGAGACTAGCTCACCATGGCGACGATTAAAGCTACTCAGACAACGGTAAACCCCAAACACTAAACCCTAAAAACCCCTTAACAACCCTTATAAACCCTAAACCCGA